TTTTGGTCTTGAAGTGTTCGTGGAAGTCCAGAGAAGATTTGAAAGGTAAGAAAAAAAATTAGGCGATACGAAGTTCGCCAGTTCAGCTAGTTGGAAATAAAAGTACCTACCTATTTAAAACCTTCGTTTTAATAAGTATTCAAAATTGGCCAACATGCGCTCTGAATGCAGAATATGGTCTACCTAACTTTACGGTTGAGTGCGGACATATCAATTGTTATACGATAATCTAATATGTTATACTCAAGGGAGCAACAGCTTGAGTCACTATTGTCCATGAATATCTGAAACATGGGTTGTATTAAATTAATTTACATTTTGCAATCTTATTACTTGTTTGTATAAGGTCTAATTTTAATTAGCTACGGTTTTTGTGGTGTGGCTTATCCCCAAAGAAACAAACATAAAGTATATTTATTTACAACATTTTGCCTCATAAATCACTACGGCACTCTAGAACCACTATATTACTACCATTCTAAAATAATAGAGAGCCTTATTCCACAACCATAAGATTTAAAACTCAACTGAAAATGCATAGAAAATCCTAACAACTAGTATGTATAACACTTTTCCCAAGGCCAAGGATGTTTGTACAATACCTTGTTCTGAATACAAAAGCTATTAATAGCTATAAGGATATAAAGACTCATATAACAATAATTTGTGATCAGATAATCATGAATTTACAACCATTACCACATTAAGAAAATAATCAGCGTAATTAAACACCATATACGAAGACTGTAATTATGCCCGGTATATGGGAATAGGCCCCCTATTACATGGGACTCATTACATAAATTGTGAAAAGCGGCTGTAACCTTATACAGTAGCATTAAGTGTCGTGATGTGCACCTCTGCCTACCCCGGCCCTCGGGGGTAAAAGGCGTGATGTTATGTAATTGATTTAAAAAAAAATATCACCAAAATCTGACATCAAACCACACAATCCTAGAACGACCTCGAAAGCCCACTTAATAGACTTACAACATGGAAAAAATTGGTCCAATTTCAAATCATGTGACTAACCGCACCTGACTGAATTGCCGCCATATTGATTGACGTGCTTAATTGAAACATTATTAACAGTATTGGGCCTATACCGCAGTATCGGAAAAGGGTCAAGGCCACTAGCGATGTCACTTACGTCGTTTTTGATACTGGTATATTTTCAGTGCGGCATTATGGGACATGGGACGCATTATGAAGAGAATAGGATCTTGTTGATAGGAAACTTTGTTAGGAGAGATGTAGGGTTCATTTTGCCTTGGCAGATGCTGTTGTAAAACTGCTGTATATGGCTTGCAGATATTTATTGCTTATTTTATATAGAACTTTCCTGGCTTTATGAAAAATGCATTTCGAACTTCTCCTTTAGTTTCGCGTCTTAATAATTGAATCGGTGTTGAAAAAGATGCTGAGTAGTTAGATCTCAGGGGACAGATTTAGATAGTCATAACATAACATAACATCAAGCCTTTTATCCCCGAAGGGATAGGCATAGGTGTACATTATGCCACTATACAATGTAACACCCAATTTTCACTATTTATGTCATGACTCCCATGTAATAGGGGGTGAGCGTATTGCCATATACCGGGCACAGTTCCAGACTCTGTGCTACAACTGAGAATTTCATTATATAGTCATTAAAATTCGGTTTGAAATGGATAATTGACGAGGGTCTTGATTTGAGTGACACAGTTTGTGAAATACTTTAGAACCTAGACTTTAGCTCTTTGTGATGTTGGTACAACTATTTTTATGGATATATTGTATTGTTCTTTTGTTCGAGCATGTACTTAAAATCATAACAAAACATAACATTACATCACGCCTTTTATCCCCGAAGGGATAGGCATAGGTGTACATTATGCCACTATACAATGTAACACCCACTTTTCACTATTATGTTATGAGTCCCATGTAATAGGGGGTGAGCCTATTGCCATATACCGGGCACAATTCCTGACTCCTTGTTACTACTGAGAATTTTTTAAAACCCAGTAATAATTTGCACAACACGGGAATCGAACCCGAAACCCCTTGCCCGGCAGTAGCACTTGCGACCAATCAGCAAACGAGGCAGGCTATACTTAAAATTACTTTAAGAAAAAAGAAGCAGATGAAAATAGATACATAGACAATTTATTTGGACCACATACAACTAGAAATACAAGCACTTGAGATAGAATTTGGTCAAATATATCGTGAATCAGCAAGTAATGCTGCGATAGCAGAGAAACAACCCAAGAGACCAACAAATTAGCCACAACACCTCATAAATTCGATTCATAATACACCATAGAACGATCTAATTGTGAGCGGACGGCTAATGAAACATGTATTATAAGCATGGCTTTGTATGGCCCATAGCACGCTAGACTGGTTCGCTCGTGGCCCCATAGCAAAATGATGGGTCTATTACTTTCTGATCGAAATTTGGTCGTGGATTGAAATGTATCGTGGAAATGGAATAATTTCTGTAGGAATTGAGTAGTGTATAGGTGATATTGAGTGGAGGTAAGAACAATTGATTAAATAAAGATCGTAGTTAGTTTGAGATGATCTTAATAGTTTTGCATATTGACCGATGTTTGTCATAAGTCAAAGTTTGTTGTTTGGGGTCTTCTTTGACCTAACAGTGGTTATGGAAGACTATTAATATTTTTGGAGTATGCCTACTAGGTACTAGTTATTCTAGGTCGTGAACCTTTCTTAATAGTTACAAAATATATATATAAAGTAACAGTATATTAGTTTAATTATGTTAATAACAACACGCCTTTTATCCCGGGGGCCGGGGATAAAAGCCATTGTACATTGTAACACCCACTTTTCACTATTTACTATTTTGAATTCCATGTAAAATACATGTACATCTATACATCTCACCGGTATACGGCACTCCGTATACCGATCTCAATTCCAGACTTCGTGCTACTACTGAGAATTTTTTAAAACTCCCTAATACTTTGCACGCTCCGGTAATTGAAGACGAGGCCTCTTGCCGGGCAGTCACTCTTACGACCTCTCGGCCAACGAGGCAGGCAAGTAAAATTTGTCTTATGATACAAAAACTCAAGAATATTTACTTAAGGCAGTTGTCGTAAGGACGATTATTCTTTACACAAACAGAAAAGTATATGTACAAAACAGGAAAAAAACATTTTAGTCAAACATTTATCCTTATGTACCCCATTCTAATGAAACCCATCATCGGGCATTGCCTGGACTGTCAACCGTGCAACAAATGTTGCAGAGAACAGCAAACAGGAAAACCCAGCATAAATTGACCTCTAAATCTTCAAACTATCTAGAAAGTACAAGACCAGTTGTCATTGGTGGTTCAAGTATTCTTCTTTATGCGACCGGGATACAGTTGGGTACCAGTATATTGTGACCTTTAGTGCTGATCCGGGCGTTGAACGGACGAAGACAGGGTGAGGTTCCGGTCCAGACAAAATGCACCGTCAATAGCCCTTTATGAGCCAGTTAAAGTGCTGCGTAAAGTATCTATTCGCAAGAAGCTAGTCAGAAGGAAAAATATTCCAGCTTTTTGTAAGGGAATGTATTCATGAATCTTGATATTGTTTATAGCTATGGTATTTGTAAATCAAAAACACAAAAATTGTTTTTCATTACATAAATACCCGAGAAATTAAATCAAAAATCACCATCACGCCTTTTTATCCTCGAAGGGGTAGGCAGAAGTGCACATTGCGGCACTTAATGCCACTCAAAAATCACCATGATAAGAATATCTTTCTGATTATTCATTTTTTGACTACATGGTTGGTGCATTGGCTGGGCAACCGGCTGACGTGCAACGTGTCGCGGGCTCGATTCCCGCATGGAACAACACTTTGTGTGATCCACAAAAAGTGAAAAGTGGATGTTATACTGTACATTAAGTAACATTAAGTGCACGTCTGCCTACTCCATCGGGGATAAAAGGCGTGATGTTATGATGTTATATTATGTTATGTCTATAATAAATAGAATCAAAATCATCTCAACGACTGCGACTGCCAAAAAAAGTAATTCATGTATGTACTCCATTGTTGAATTCGTCTCCATTGTTTTGCATTGTCCATAATCTCGAGGAGTTTCAAAGAACATCGTCACAAACTCAAAACATTTGCAAACTTCTTAAAAATCTTAACAACTTCATAATAAACTATAGTAAAATAAACTATCTTACTCACCGCTTTGTCACCGAGTTGTTCAACCCTACAATGGAGGAACGCGGTCTGTCCGACCACTGTAGTCACATTCCGAGGCACATTGTATTCGAAGTACGGAAATGACCCCACGCTGTCCTCTCCATAGTGCGCGGTACCTGCGACCAAAGAATGCTTTTTGTTATTTTATTTTTATATACGTATAAGTTTGGGGTTTTTTTATTGAGGTTGTAATTTTCTCTAGTAAAAGTGAGAAAATGTTCAATATTTTATAAATAATAATATAAATCCTTACTATTATAAATGGGAAAGTGCGTTTGTTTGTTTGTTTGTTTGTTCCGCTTTCACGTCGTAACTAATAAACCGATTGCTTTGAATTTTTGCAGGCGTAAAGTTAAAAGTCCGGAATAAATAATAGGGTACTTTTTATCCCGGAAAATTTTGATATTCCCGAGGGAAAACAAAAGAATTGATATAGATGGCGCTGTGTGTATTGGTATATGACACAAAGGCTACTTTTATCCTTTTGTGACGCGAGCGAAGCCGCGGGTAAAAGCTAGTATAATATAAACCCGTTGTAATTTTAATTTTACGGAAAATAAATATATAACATGGTAAGAAAAATAACATTTTTACATATTAGGGGCCATCCATTAATTACGTCACACCTTAAGGGGTAGGGAGGGGGTCGACAAAGTTTGACATTGTGTGACAAGGGGAAGGGAGGGATCCAAACCTTCGTGATGTCACATTTCAAAAACTATTATAATCTGCGTTTAAATACGAAATATAATTGTATTAATGTTTTTTATATTGTTAATTGGTTGATTTGACATTAATATTTTTTAAAGTAATTTTATACTGTAATTCTGCAAAATGTGACGTCACAGTAGGAGTGGGGGGAGTCTCACAAATGTGACTAGCTGTGACAAGGACGGGGGAGGGGCAAAAAAATCATAAAATACGTGTGACGTAATGGATGACCCCTTAGTACTAGTACTTAGTAATAGTACGTTCTGCCACTTATATATAATACGAACAGCCCGTCCCAGCTTCGCACGGGGTAGACAATTATTTATTTTTGGAAATTTGGATTTTTATAGTGACATGATTACAATCTACCCCGGAGTTTTTTGTAGATATTATGATGTTCTTCAATATTGTTCCACATTATTTTGTTCTATCGCTAATAGTTTCGGCAGCGCATTCGACGAAAGACATTTTAAGACTCGTTTTTCTACGCCTTCGGTTACATTGTTCAAATTTTACTAAAGATCCCTAATTTTTTTCAAAATGAAATGTAGCCTACGTCAAATTGGAAGAATGTAGCATTCTATTGGTGAAATATTTTTTTTAATCGGCCCAGTACTTTCTGAGCCTATTCATTAGAAACATACAAATATAGGTACAAATCTTTACAATATTAGTATAGATTAGAATATTAGAAGTATTAGAACCCCTTGTGACATATTTCTTATTCAGGACTTTTTGCTAATTCAGAGAACTGAAAACCATAAACATAACATTGTATGCTGTATATATGTATACTTTTAAAACTGTCCTTTTAACGTATGTTCAAACCTTTTTACCTCTTACCTAACCGAACTAAACCAACCGAAAACCCAAAAATTCAACTGCATTCATTCCACTCTGACTTTGACAAGACAGTCCATTGACTGAACCACGCACTCGACTTCAAACGTCCAGTATCACTGTGGAGTTGAACAGTGTCAGTTGCCATACAGTTCCAGCAATTGTATTAGCTTGATCTACATTTGATTCGAGGGCACTGGTTTTATCAGTTATTCGTTGAAAATCTGACCGTGTGTGTGTCTAGCGAAAGTTAACTGGCATATCGTCTAATTGTCTCTAAAGCTTACCACGACTGAGCTAAGTTTGTGTAGGTCACTATGGATTAGTTTAGTTTGGTTTGACCATAGATTTTTTGGGTCTTTGCAGATACAAAAACATAATATATCTAGATTGGTGCGGTGTGATTTTTGGAATACGTTTAACCTAACTGCAACTGATATTTTACGTCTTTTTATGAAATGGAATCAAACAATTTGATAGATCTTCAGATCGTAAGCTATCTGCCCATAGTCACCCGGAACGCCAAAAGAGTTTCAAGTGCGTTACCAACCGTTAAAAGGAGCGGAATTATTACTCCGGATCTTGAAGTCAAGGTAACGTAATTTAAGTGTGGGAGAGCCATGCTTCGGCACGAATGGGCCGGCTGGACCGGAGTGATACCAAGGCCTCACAGGAAACCGACGTGAAGCAACGCTTGCGTTGTGTTTCGTCGTGTAAGTGAGGTTACCGGAAGCCCAATTACCCTCCCCTTCCCCTATCTCCCCAATTCCTGAATCCCCAACGATCCTCAAACTCCTAATCCCCAATAGGCCGGTAACGCGCTTGTAACGCCTCTGGTGTTCCAGGTATCATTGGCGACACCGATTGCTTACCATCAGGTGATCCGTCTGCTCGTTAACCGGCTTATGCCATAAAAAAAGGAAAATTGTTCAAATCTTTGAATTTCTTACCACGAAGAAGATTGTCAGTTGAAAAAATGCTTTATAACATCATAGACAACGATTAAAGTTATACAAGAATTTCCTAGAAACATCTCACTTTAAAGATTGTCTGTCTCTAAATAGCTATTTACATATTATTTTGCATCCTTTCTTATATAAATTGGGCCAATTTATCTTCTTTGCAAGTCAAAATAGGAAAAGAAATGCTCCTAATGCCTGAGCAAGTTGGTGGCGTTGATAAATTATGCGCAAAGGGTCACTTTGACGTTTGATATACATGGGTGCTAGAATTTGTAGCCAATCGCCTTTTACTATAACGATACCCTTTTTCACGATTTGTGATTTCAATTTGCTTATTTGTACGTTTGACTCTTATTCTGATACTATTGGTCGGTTCGTGCAAATATAATTTTGATTGATTACATAGTGATAGGATGGAGAAAACTAATTTTGTTTTTCTTCTATCTTCACTTGTAGTAAGCTTGGAACAGTACTCTATCGTTGATTGGAGTAAACTGAAGTCTGCTCAGCATGTTCTTGTTTTCTCTCATACACATTCAGACAGATAAATGAAAAGTAATCTGAGTAGAAATCAAAATTATTTAATCTTCTTACACAGTTAAGTGGGTTAGATTTACTAGATTTTCGTTTCTCTGTGAGACATTCTTCATCAAATCTGTGTCTAGTTTCTACATTTTAGCATAGACATAGCCTGAGATCATGTCGTGGTAGCCCGGAGGCTTTAGACGTCCTCTTCTCATGCACGAGGTTTAGAAACCGACTAATGGCATGTATTAATGTAACTATTTCCGAGTTATATGTACATTCTAAGATATATTTAGATGTCACTAACAAACGGTGAAGGAAAATATTTTAACTTGGGCTTATTATTTCTATTAAATTGTAAGTTTGAAATCGCTAATCAGAATTGAGCAAGCGTGGTGATTAATGCTCAAACCTTCACTATGTGTGAATAGGCCTTTAGTTCAGCACTGGCTACTTATAGGCTGTTGATGTAATGTAAGATCTTATACTTCTCAAGGTTTATTCAGTCGGTAAGTTATTTACAACCTAAAGAACGGTTCTACTCGTGTTTTTGTAGTCCTTCAAACGCAGGCTCAATGTGGCTCATTACATGATACCTAGCAATTCTCTTTCTAACAAAAAGAATAGAAGAAAGCACAATTATTCAACACAAAGGATTCTGTTGATTAAGAAATTATTCAGTGGAACAACATTCTGTGAATTAATGCTGTTGTTCAGGTGAACAGCCTAATTTTAAAGGCCATTAAAGACCTTTTTTTGTAGATAAAACCCTTTGAAATGATCCTAATGTTTAGGTATTTCGCTAATTGTTTCTTTTGTGTTCAAATTTTGTAATTTGTAGGCTGCAGTATCGTTCTATATTATTGTTCTCGCGAAAATTAGGCGTTGGATTTTTTGACTATATTTGTGTGAACTATATTATAATAGAAGGAATATTCTATCTTGTTTAGTATAATTAATTATTACTGACTAGGATCATAATCAAATAATAATTGGTAAAACATGTAAATTAAGATGTGTGGCGACGACAAATCCTACATTCCACAGTTGAAATTTAAAGGCAAATTATACATAGACAATTACGCGCAACTGTTGGGCAGTAGCCCGCCACGCATTATTAAGTCTCTGACTGCCGACAGAAACCTGCTAAAGGCACATCCTCCGCTAACGTAGGTCACCGGTGACCTAACGCGGCGGTTAACGGGTTAACCGTGGTTAGGTCTGGTCGAACGAACCTTCTTTTTTGATCTTAAAAAACTTAACTTCTCTAAAAATGGGAAAAATTTTTATCATCGTTACTTCAAGTTTTGTACATCTGTGGCAATAGCACGAGGTCTAGAATTGCATATAACAATAGAATCACCTCCTGTTGCATATTATTATTTTATTCTACCCTTTTTTTAGAATAAAAAGCACTTATCTAAGCTAAGATAAACCAGAAACTACTGCATTTATATAACTCAGATATATTCCTATATGTTATTACGTAAGCAAAGGTATTTTATATCAACCGATCGCCGTTCACAATCCAATTACTGCTGGAACCGATACCCTAAGGTTAGAACACGGTCAGACTGTGGTCAGACTTTCAAGTTTCAGACACACTACAAGTAACTTAAGGTTAGAAAGGTTAAACTATTTAGTTACAGCGTGTAGAGGTTTGGTGTAATATTCATAAAGTAGATATTCTGAAACAAACACTAGTTTCGAGTTGTGAATTTAATATTTTGGTGGATAGTAATAGCAAGTTTTTGACTGCCTCGTTAGCCGAGTTGTCGCAAGTGCGACTGCCGGGCCAGGGGTCTCCGGTCCAATTCCCGCGTCAGGCAAAGTATTACTGTGTTTTTTTTAAATACCCAGTAGTAGCACGAAGTCTGGAATTGTGCCAGGTATATGGCAATAGGCTCACCCTCTATTACATGAGACTCATAACATAGATAGTGAAATGTGGGTGTTACACAGTACAGTGGCATTAAGTGCTGTAAAGTGTACCTCTGCCTACCACTTCGGGGATAAAAGGCATGATGGTATGTTATGTTGTTATGTTATCTCTAATTAGAATTTTGCCAAACGAACAA